CTTTCATGATGGGGTTGGTGGGCGTCGCTCAACACCAACCACTACTGGTCTCCTTAAGGCCGACTTGTTGGTAATATGTTCGTATTACTGATTTTACCTTTTTTTTCGTTGTGTTTTCTTGCTGTAGTTTCTCCCCATGATTACTGTTTAGTGTTTTATTTGTTTAATTATCGTTATATTTAGCAACTGTACTTTTGACAATGTATAAAGACTTATGTAAATTCATTTTATTCTGCTTTAGATACTGAAGATGGACTCTGATAGAATTCCGAAACGTTTATTTATGTCCCCTTTTTGTCAATAAACAATGTTGTATATCATAAGTGTCGTAATTTTGTTTATTATCAAAATTTGGATAATATCGCAATCAATATCTTGTAAGATACTTAATTTTCATTTTAATATTTACTGAGTTACTATTACACATTTAAATTGTACTTAGAAAGAATTTGAGAAAGAGAAGTTTGAAAAAGATAAAAGAAATAGTATTCATAAATTGAATAATTTATTTATTTGTAATAAAGTAAATAAAATAATAAAATCACTGGAGGCGGCTTTAGTCAAGCATCACTCTTGTCAACAGCCAAGGTGTGCGTTAGTACTGGATCTTGTCAATAGCTCTCGTAGAATGAATGAAAAAGTAAGTGGAAAAAGAAGATGGCGGTGTTTCAAAACCCATGGCAGCGGAATTTTCCAGCGAAGAAATGTGGTGGGCAGGAAGAAGAGTTGTTAGTTTTTGGATATTCTTGCAGGTTATTTCGAGACGACGAAAGGGCTCTTTATATTGATCAGGGAAAACATCTTATACCTTGGATGGGTGATGAAAATTTACTGATTGACAGGTAGGCCAATACGATTGATATCGGTGAACGTAGAGAATAACTATTAGTTTGTAAGATATGTTTAGACATAAGGATTATACCTTTAATTTAGTTTAAAGTTATGGATTATATCATTATTAAGGAGTCTTACTAAACGGTGTTATGTTAGGCTTAACTTTAGGACCAAGATGTCGTAGTGGTACTAGTACTACTACTACTAGTTCTAGTACTCGGTAGTAGTAGCTGTACTACCACCATGCAGTTTAACTTAAGTTTTTAATTTTAAGTTAATTTTATAGGCTTAGTCTCCATTCATAATTCACATATGCCTACGTTAAAACTAACAATGAAATAAATAGGTTAAATAATTTGTAATTATTATTGTTATTATTAACTAGCTAAAACTGAACTGAGTAAAATTGTTCAGGTAATTTTCAGTTTTGATTTAAGGACTTGGGCAGTTTAAATTTAAAAATTAAAGTTAATAAGTTGTAAAGGTTGAAAGTCATATTAATTTTATCATTTCTACTGCAAAGAGAGGGGTGAGTTTTTATTTTTATTTCTTATGGACAGTTTGAGATAAAATAGTTGCTGTTTAACCCTACATGTAGTGTGGAGACCATATTTTTGTTGTTGTTGATTCCACATAGCAGTATCATCTCCATAATTCAAAATATACCTAATCCTATTATACTTGGCTAACTAGCTATACAGAATCTGCACAGAAAACATCATAAAGTGTTCCATTAAGTGTCATCTCCAGGTGTATACATTAAACGTTAGAACTAACCATGTAATGGTGATATCTAGGTTTAGAGTACGTAATTTTCAAATAAAATAAATTTAATCCACCTTCTGGTTTAAAAACATGCCTTAGCCCTTATTGTAATTATAAAGAGTAAAGACAGAGTTTATCGAAAATGTTTGGGTATTTCTTGAATTAAGGCGGGGACAAGTCGGTGCTATGGGTAATCACTAATAACATGGTGGACAATATGGTGATAACATAGGTCTTTGCACTTCTTCTAAGGTTACTGCTAATCTTGTTACTCTTTGTTAATTCCCTATAGCACTGATGTATCCTAAACATGTTTTTAAAAAGTACTGAGGTAGTTAAACAAATTATATATATTTTAATTATTTACTCTTATATGAAGGGCTCAGGAATGTTTTTTAAAATAATTTTATTGTGAAATTAAATGTCCCATGCTTAAAGCTGCAAATAGAATATGGCTAACTGAGTTATAAAATTTTTTAAAGATGTTTTGTACACTTGAGTTGAACAATTGCAAAGAAATTGTCATTTAAAATGTAATTCAGCATAAATGAGTGGTCACTAAATGCTGATTATATTAATAATTGCTCTAATTGGATGTGTGATAATTGAAACTAATGCCAATGTTTACCTAAGTTAAAAAATTATATCATACATACTTTGTTTAAAATATTTTTGCACTTAATTAAATATTGAGAGATGTATATAAATGCAATAGGAAATAAAAAAATAACACGGTGAACATTAGAGTGAAGATGTATGTCTCCATGCTACTTGTTGGGCTATTTACTGATATGATGAGAAGCTACATATTATGTTAATCTTGTGTTATTAATTTATATTAAACCTTTCTTATACAATAAAACTTAGAAGTACACTTTAACCCTATCTGGACTGTAGAGCACCTTTTAGGTGTATAGTGTGCATCTGCATGCAACATTTTAAAATTTAATTACAAATAATAATGCTAACTTTCAGCAGTTTGATTAGTAAAATATATTTTATAATCATTATTTTGTCATTTTGTAACATTTTTATTCAGTGTAATTCACAAAGGCTACATGGGTAGGTTCAGTCAACAGTCATGCATAGTCTCAACAAACTTAAACCTTTGGCTGCTTGAAATGAGAAGGGAAAGTATCAAGAGGTTTGGATATTGAGATTCATTAATTAAACTGATAAAGTTGGTTGTAGTCAGGAGAATAGAAAGACTACATCTAAAACTTGCTTGCAAGGTGCTAAAGTGGGGAACGTAATAGAGCCTGTTGACATTTTAGTTGCTAGTACCAAAGGTCAATCTGAAATGATGATTGTTTTGTAGTGCATGTAGGAGCAAATTATATTAGAAGTTGAAAATCAGAAGGACTGCTTAATAAATATAAAGAACTTGTACAGAGATTAAAGGATAGAGATAAAAGTGTCCATTTATAATAAAACACAAAATGTTTATTTTGCACATCCAAATGACTGTATAATGGCATCTTTGTCAATCAGATCTCATCTTCAACAGCCAATTCTTATTAAAAACAAAAAACTAAAGCTGATACATTAAAACATTTATTTTCATTTTTTTCAAACTTTTTTGGTACATGTGTAATGTTCAATGTTAAAAATTTTTATAGTATTGTGTATAAAATAATCGTTTTTTTTTTCTTTCATACCTGTTAGACACGCATCATATTGTGTTCCATTATGCTTTTAAAAAGGTTGTGATGTTAACATAGGCCCCCTTTCTTCATTTTTCTTTATATTTCAAATGGTTTCACTAAGTAAATTTGTAAGGTTAGAGAAACAGCTTGTTTAAACATCCTGCTTACCTATTTTTAACTTTTCTTAAGTAGGAAAAACTTCTTTTACAAGGAACACATTGTTATTGCTAGTTTTGCAACTTATGTCAGAGTAAATGTTGCTTATTTCATTTATAATAATCTCACAGAAACTAGAACACCTTAGCCTTGATAAGCTTAGACAACACCAGGCAATGTTATAATTTTCTCTTTTTAATCTATTTACATAGAAAAAACGTTTATATAAGTCCCAACCTCTACAACTTTACCAATAGTACCAAATTACCATAATTCAGCCTTTTCAGTTGAATAACTTTAATAATTCATCAGTGTTCTTAGCTTATGAGCTAGGAAACCGGTTTTTAAGTTAGAAACAACACAGTCTGTAAACTTTAACTTAGCATTAACAACTACTGCTTTATCATTATTGACTCCACATGTTAAAGCAACACCTTAAATCTTTCAACCCGGGCTCGGTCCCTGGGACTGACCTTGTAACCATTTTGTGATTGTTATAATTTTCATGATATAACTTTTAAATTAGTAAGCTAATGTTAACAAAATTTGACAGTTTATCAGTAAACATTACAATGCTTTCATACACAAAATATCTAATTTTTTATTAAGTCTTAAGGTTTTTAAAGCAATGTTTCTCTCGTGCCTTTTTTTCTTTTCACATCTTGCCTATCTATCATGCAGAGTAATTTTCGTTTTAACATTAAAAATACTTTTATGCATCAGAAAATTTTGAAATTTTTCATGCAAAATCTTTATAATGTCCTGATAGTTATCAAACATTTCTTAAGAAAAAACTTTATATTTTATCTGTTATTTTCAATAATTATGTTCTGTAGGGTTTGTAAATTTGACCGATCTCGCAACCACCATGAAAAAAATAAGATAGGAAATAAACATAAATTATGCCTCTCATTCGAGAATGAACACAAATTATAACATGAAAACGTAAATATTTAGATGAAATAGCTTAAATCTTATAACATTATACATTTATATATATTTATTATTTTTATTATATTGACCTTTCACCCATGCCTGGCTAACACTACAGAAGTTACAATGACGTGGCTCATGTGCACTCATGTTGCCGTATCAAATAACATAAAGGTGACCTTTGGTCTGTACAAAGTAACTTGTATTGGCTGTGTTTTAGTCGACCAGTATTTTGTAAAATGCAGTCGCATTTCAATTATTATACATTATATATGTATATAGATTATTGCTCTTTTGAAATAAGTTCTTAAAGTTATTTTTTCTTTAAACATAGAACAGTAAGTAAAGAAGTAAGGCAAACAATTATCTCTCCCAATTAAGACCTTTGTACTTGGTTGCTGCTTGATGTAGTTTGCTAAGCCTTTAAAAATTTTACACATAGAGGACACAAAACAAAATATATTTGATTTCTTACATGAGCAATATCTTAGCAAATAGAAAAGTTAAGATCTTATTTTATATTCTAGCTTGTCAATATCTGTAATTTAAGTTTCCAGTTCATATGAAACTATAGACTTTGTATTTTAACTTCACAAACATCTAATTTGAACCAGTGCTGCATTCAACATACCACAGGACACAAACATTGATGTTTGTCTGTGTTTTTTAATATTTACTTTTAAATTAGCAAATTGAGTAATGTATAGTTCTAAAATTTAAA